ACAGCTTACTGAAGGATACTGCTTTTGGGCATAGGTTAATAGTAACAACAAAGCTGATACTATTCAGCTTAAGTCAAACAGTTCCAATCTTGACTTTCTGCCCTCCTTGGTGGGCTCATTGGCTGAGGTGTCAGTGCACTAAAGTATGAGGCATGTTGTAGAGAATCGCTTTGTTAGAAGTCAGGGAACAGTATCTGGTGCTAACACACTCAGCCCGAGCAGAGAAAAACAGCACTGGCTTCGGTTGAACAAGTTTGCTATTTTTCAACCATAGGAGCCAGCTAGATATTAACAATAAGAAGAGTGTGACTGATTCAATCCGTGATGAATATGCTTTTCTCCAGAAGAAATACCCGTCTCTGGCCAACAGAAATGGAACGAAGTATCTTGCTAGGACCCTGAATAGGTAACATTTTCACCTTTTAAAGATGAAATGTTTTCATTTTGGCAACAGGTGTCTTAGAATGTTCTTATTTAATTTCATATATGTTTTCCTACAGTTCCTTAAAGTTTCACTTCTAAATTCTTGTAAAGCAATGTCTCTATATTTATTGGGATGTTTGGTATTAAATCATGTACTCTGGAATGAGTATTCAAATAGTTTTCTTAATTAGGAAGTTTTTTTAATTTTCAGTTCAACCTCATTTCCCATTACTATTATATGGTTAAATACTCAATTTATTGAAATAAAACACTTTGAATAGTGTTTGCAATCAAGTAACAATAGCAACAACTCTTTGGGAAGCCCATCAGAGTTCACACTTTGTTTTGAGGCCCAGATCCTTTGGCGTGAAGATCCCAGTTCATTTAAAGTTGATCTAAGTTCCTGGATGACGTAGGGGTAAATTTGCATATGGGGTCTTCTTTTATCCTTAACCTCTAGACTGCAGACAGCACTAGCAAAATCATTTCACTGTCCGTGCGCCCACAAAGCAGCGTCAGTGACTTGGGGCTTGGAAATGGATCATAGCCAAGGAGTATGTTCATCCCTTTATGTAATTCATAACCATCTATGCCCGACTTTTTAAAGTGTCACCCAACAAATATCAAAATGCTCGCCTGTTTTATGTGGCCCATAAGAACAGCAGCAAGCTGACTGGACAGCAGCAGTGGCCGTTGAGGAGTACAGTGAGCTCTGGGGGCTGACACCGGGAGGGCATGGCAACCACAGTACCCTGACTGAGCAGTTAGGAAGTTTTTGACAGTTAATTGGATTTTGAACTTTACTAAGATATCAGGTGATTTCCAGATATTTAGATTTTATGAATTTAATTAAAATTTTCAGTTATCATATGACATACTTTTTAATTTAGAATTTCTTTATATTTATTCATAATAGAAATAACATGTGTTCCATACTTCCTATTCTGAACACCTACTGATGTAGGAACAAAAAAGGAACACACCATTTTCTCTTATCCAGTACAATGAAGGCAGAAGAACTTGGATCTTAGATTTATTTACACTGTTGTAAAAGGTTACTAAACCAAAATTCTAGGTAGAATTGTACTGGGTGGCTTACTTTATAGACTACAGTGACTTGAAAATAATGTGCCTTGTTCTAGTTTTATTTGTGACTTTCTTCTAGCAATCACTACAGCTACTTTTGTGGGGGTTTTGTTTTGTTTTGCTCTTTTTTAGGCTAAGGACCTCTAAACGAAGATTGCTTCATTTCCCGTTCTTGGGATATAGGGGCTAAAAATTTGTTTTTTTATTCTTACACAGTTACTCAGATGAACAGAGAGTTCTTCTGGAAGAAGATTTCTATAGGTTTCCCCACATACCATTTACGTAATTTGGTAGATTGTAGCTAGCTGTCCTGCAATTCACTTCGGACACTATTTATGTAGAGACAGCATCACATCTTATAGGTTACGGTCTTGGGTTTTTTTATAGGAGTTCCCTTCTACTTTAGATGTCAGTTGTCAGCAAGAGCTATAGACTGTTTTTCTTAAGAGCTATAATCACTGAAATAGGCAGTAGGCCTCAGTGAACACTTTGTTTATGTTTATTCATATAGTAAAAGATTAGTGTAGAGGATACAGGTAGAGCAGTTAGAGGGATAGATAAGGCGAGGTATAGGATTTTGAAAAGTGAACCAGGGTTGATGCCCTGTCTGGGCGTGTCATGCTCCAGAACCCTGCAGTTAGTTTCATGAACTCTGCTTGAGTTTTCATGGTAGCTTCAGTATATGGATATGATTGATTACCTCACTGGCCATTGGTGATTAGTTCAACTGGGACTGATCCTCCCAACCCTTCGATACTTGAAGAGACTTTAATACCTGGGTACTAGGAAGATTTCACCATTATACCCTTTTTTTCATTGCCTTGTTGGAAGTATTAGTACTTAGTTTTATGCTAAAACCTGCTTTTCTGATCTTTTAGGTTGCTTATGCATCATATCAGAGATTGTTTGCCAGAGCTGAAAACAAGGATAAATGTCTTAGCTGCTCAGTATCAGTCTCTTCTGAATAGCTATGGTGAACCTGTGGACGATAAGAGTGCTACTTTACTACAGCTTATCACCAAGTTTGCCACCGAGTACTGTAACACTATTGAAGGAACCGCAAAGTACATTGAAACCTCTGAGCTGTGAGTAAGACATTGTTGTGAAGATTTGGTTACTTGGATTGCATATAATCTTGAAATTATTTAAATTTTAATAGTAGAGAAGCTGGCTCAAGAGATTTTGAGTTAAAGGCAAAAGAAAGGCATTTAAAAGGGGGTAAGAAAGAAAGAAGTCAAACTATCTCTGTAGATGACAGGATTCTTTACTTAACAGACCCCGCTAAGTCTTCTAGATAACTTATAACCTATTAAACATAGTAAAGTTACACAATACAAAATTAATATTAAAAAAGATCCTTCATATGTATCAACCATGTGCTCTCAAACAAATTAACCCCATCCAAATAACCAAAAATAATTATGTGGCCAAAGAGAAAGACCTCTGTAAAGAAAACGTAAAGACACTGAACCGGGAAATCACAGAAGATGCTAAATGATGGAAAGAGCTTACATGCTCCTGGATTGACAAAGTTAGCATTTTAAAAATGAATGTGAAACCAAAATTAATTTACAGATTTAATGAATAGCTATCAAAGTTCCAATGTCATATTTCATGGATTTAGAATATACAATACAAGCATTTTTATGAACTCACAAAATCCAACATGTCAAACTCAGAGCTATGGTGATAAAGATAGTCTGGCACTGGCATAAAAAAACAGGTACACTGATAGAGTAAAATAGAGGACCCAGAAATAAAACAAAGAGCTGTGCCTATTTAATTTTTGACAATGGTTAAAAACATTATTTTGATAACAGCCTGTTCAGCAAGTGGTGCTGGTAGGACTGGATGTCCACTGTTGAAATAGGAGCGGCAGGGCTGCGTCCCCGGCACCCGGCCGCCCGCATGGCTAGCTTATGCCTGAAATAATTACACGGAAACTGTATTCTTTCAAACACTGCCTGGCCCGGCTAGTTCCAGTTTCTTATTGGCTAGCTCTTACATATTGTTCTAACCCATTTCTAATATTCTGTGTAGCCCACGAGCTGGCTTACCAGGGAGGATCTTAACCTGCGTCTGTCTGGAGCGGGAGAATCATGGCGACTCCTCCACCAAGCCTCCTTCTCCCAGAATTCTCCTCTGTTTTCTCCACCCACCTAAGGGTGGGCCTTATCAAGGGGCCTAGGCAGTTTCTTTATTAATAAGAAATCACTCCCACATCAGTCCACATACAGAATTAATGTGGATTCTTTCATTTTATACAAAAGTGAATTCAAAGTGGACCAAAGGCTACTGGAACTTCTACAGGAAAACATGGCAGTTCCCTGGAAGACATTGGGGTAGGAAAGAATTCTGTGAATAGTATCAGCATAGGGGACAACATGAAAATAAAGGTCCACAGCAAAGAAACGATTAGCAAAGCAACCAGCCTGAGGGGGAGGGGAGGTCTTTGCTAACTACACTTCAGACTAGAGACTGATACCTAAACTTTACAACCAGTTTTGGAAATTAAATACCAAGGAAATAAAAATCCTAATCAAGCGAGTAAATAAATGGGATTTAGTTTTAACAAAACCACACAGATGGACGATACTTATTTTAAAAAGTATTCAGTATTTTGAGATACTATCTCATCCCAGTCAGACTGACCTTCATCAACAAACGTGACAAAATGTTAGAGCAATCCTTGGTCACTGCTGGTGGGGGTGCATATTGAATACATCCATTGTGAAAATGAGTGGATAGTTTTCAAAAAATTAAAAATAGTTCTACCATATGACCCAGCTATTTCACTCTAGGGCATATACCCAGAGAACTCTGTGACCTACCATAACGGTAATTACACCTCATGCTTACTGTTGCATTATTCACTATAGCAAAGAGTTGGAATCAAACTACTGACCCATCAACACATGAATGTATAATGGACACTAGAGCACATATAAGTGGAACACTATTCAGCTCTAAAGAAAAAAAATTGAAAGTAAACAGAGTGGACTTGAGAGAAAGCCTCATTCACTGTTGGTGGGATACAAATTGATACAGCCATTGGGTTTATAAGGCTTTCTCAGAAGATGAAACAATCTTAAAGCTTAAAGACATAACTTGTAGATTCTTTATAGCAGTGCGTAATCATATGATTCCTTGCCTTTCAGATGCGGTGGTGCTAGGATTTGTTATATTTTCCATGAGACTTTTGGGCGAACCTTAGAATCTGTTGACCCGCTAGGTGGCCTTAACACTATTGACATTTTGACTGCCATCAGAAATGCTACCGTGAGTATGCTGAGCCAGAAGCAGAGGGAAAGCTTTATTTGTATGCGTAGTTTAAGTTGATGTACAGTTTCTTTTGCCGTCATATTTAAAACATTTTTCAGGAAAAGGAACAAAAAAGGGATTCTTTTTATCCTTTAGAAGACGTGAATTGCACATAGCTATAATAATAGAGCTGAATTTTGTCTTTTCAGGGTCCCCGTCCTGCTTTATTTGTGCCTGAGGTTTCGTTTGAGTTACTGGTCAAGCGGCAAATCAAGCGTCTAGAAGAGCCCAGTCTCCGGTGTGTTGAATTGGTCCATGAGGAAATGCAGAGGATCATTCAGCATTGTAGTAATTACAGTACACAGGTACCTGTGAGATGGAACAGGGCCATCAGATCAGTCCTGTGTTCAGAGTGGGAGGAAATGGGCTAAAAGCAAACTCCTTAGTTCCCTTAGTTATGAGTGATTTTAAATGGTGTTTGTAAATGTAGCTTCATTGATTATTTAGTTTTCAATTAAACAGACTAACATTTTTATTTCTCTGTTACATACAGGAGTTGTTACGGTTCCCTAAACTTCATGATGCCATAGTTGAAGTAGTGACTTGTCTTCTTCGTAAAAGGTTGCCTGTTACAAATGAAATGGTGAGCTACTGTCTTGTTTGAATCACTATCAGCAAAGGTTTAATTTGGTTGTTTTCTTCTGTATAACATTATGATCGCTTCAGGCATGTTTCCCAGTGAATCATAAGTATTTGTCTTATTTCCAAAGAAAGTTTTTAGTTATTTTAGTACACAGTATTTTTAATTTTGATTTTGATGTTTTAATCATTACTAGCCTAAAATTCCAAGTTTTATGAGGACAGAATATTGTTAAACGTCTTGAGTAGCTGCTTCTGTTCTGTGCTGCTATTGATTGTTGTGGTAAATTAGTCTGTGCAGGATGCTCAGCAAGCCAGACCTTTACAGCAAGCTCACTTTATTCTGAATCTGAAGCACATGGGGCAACCCATATTCTGCTTGTTTTGTGACCTGATGGTAGGAGTTAGTTGTTACTATCGTGAGATGTACCTGTCCACCACCCCCCACCAAAAAAAAAAAAAATACTAAAAATGACAGAACTCTGAGCTTTAGCATTTGAAATTACTCTTATGCCACTAAAAATGCATTTATGTCTTGGCTCAGATTACTGAGCCTCACTTGAAGTTTATCAGTAGTATCCTTGGAACTGTTTGTGAGTGGCTGCTGAGGGGTTGCTTGCTTAGCAGGGATTGCTGTCCATAGATGCCTAAGCCTGATCTCACATTCTACCCACCGGCATCCTAGAACTACTGGAACTTCATGTCACCAGCTTTGCACCGTTGAGTGCTGTTCTGGAACTTGAGATAGTCATAAGAGCCTTGGTTCCTTTTTTATTACCTGCAAAAGAAATCTGATTTTTGTTTTGTGGGTTTTTTCCCCAGCATATTTTTGTCTGTATTTTGTGATTTAACTAGGAGCACTATAACCTTGGCCAGAAAACAACTAGTTGGTTACAACAAGTAGCTCACCTTGTGCACGTGCTCATTTGGTATTTGATAAGTAATGTTTTAATAATTTTTCTTTTGTTCAGAATTGGCAGTGGGGTAATCAGTTTTGGGGAAAAACTGGGACCAGAAACATAATTTAAAGACTAGAAGATAAAAACACTTTAAAGGTGGCCATGGTCCTGTAAACAATCCCTTACCCTCACCAATATTTAAAGCAACCCTGCTGAAACTCAGTGGGTCATTAAGACAAATGAAAGAAAAGGGACTGCTAGTTGGGAAGAAGAAAGGAATGAACAGGAGGGGAGGGAACAAGAGTAACGGTGAGTATGACTAAAATGCATTAAATGTTAAAAACATGATAAGTAAAACCACTTATGGATAACTAGTAATATTAATTTTTAAGGATAAAAAATGACTTAAGCTTATTCTCCATAAGCCTTAGGAATTCTGTGGAAGAATGATACATTAATTTTCACTTTTTCTTTTGATTGCTGTAACATTAGGCTTTTAGCCCTTTTGATTTTAACTATGTGCTTCATGGTTCAGGCTAAGTTATTACTAACTACCTCAGGCATAAATATATTCATTGTTGGAATAAAATTAACATGTTTAACTTCTCCCTAATTATGAACTGTTTTTTGTTAAAATTGAACATAAGCTTTGACACTCTGAAATGAAGTTTGAATAACAAATTATTAAAAGCCTGGAACTTAAAACTGCATCAGGTAAATAACTTTTCCCAGTATTAGGAAATTACTTTAAAGCTCTCTTACTGTCATTTTTTCCTTACTGGAAGTACAATTTTAAATCTGAAGGTTAACTTACTATCATTGGGCATAGAGTGTTATTTCAAGTATTGTCATCAAGTATTTGAAAATGTTTCGTATACTTTTTCAATATTTTCTGTGTATTAAGGTTTTTATATTTAGGCTTACCAAAGTTAGGCTAAACTGGCATATTTTTGTATACTAGTCTTATTTTGTTTTTTGTAGGTACATAACTTAGTGGCAATTGAGCTAGCTTATATCAACACAAAACATCCTGACTTTGCTGATGCCTGTGGGCTAATGAATAATAACATAGAGGTGAGTATAATGATCATTTTCAGAGGTTGGAAATAGCTATAGGTAATTTTATACAAGAGATGTGGCATGTTGCTGCTGATTGTATACCCAGGAAATACGTTCAAGTCATTACATTGCTTTCTTAATTTTAGTTCTCAAAATCACCTGGGACAGTTATTTTTACTTTCTACTTAGGAAACAAAAAGGATTTATTGATTAGTGTTGAAGAATAGTCTTGCACCTTTTCAGTAACTATTATAATTTTTTGTATTGAAGTGTAAAAAACCAAGTGAATGTTTATAATTGAGGAGTTTTGGTTCTGCAAACTATGAAGGAAACATTCTAAGATTAACAGACTTCATAATTTGGAAAAGTAGTAGATTCTTCAAAGTAAAGTGCCCTCCCCCCGCGCTTTTTTTAAACATCCAGAAAGTAAATTAGTAAGTTATGTTAAATGTAGGATCATATGGGCTGTACTAGCGAGGTGGATAGCACTAGCTGTTCTTCCAGAGGACCTGAGTTCAACTGCAGTTCCAGGGGATCTGACACCTGGCCTCCATAGGCACCAGCATGCATGTGGTACACAGATACACATGCAGGCAAAACACCCATACACATAAAATAAAAATATTTCTAAGAGGCACACTATAGAACTTACAGAATGACTAGATTTTATATAAAGGATATATAAAAGGGACTTATCAGAAGGACTTACAAGCTGTGGTCCAGCTAATCCAACAGTGGCTGCCTATAAACAGAAAGTTCCAAGAATCCAGTTGTTGTTCAGTCCATGAGGTTGGCTGTCTCAGCTGGTCTTCAGTATATAGTGAAATCACAAAGAAGTAGACTCATTTTTGCTATAAGTAGCTTTATACCTAAGAAATCATTTTGAAACTTTGTTAACTTACAGATCTTTGTAAGCTTGGGTATTTATGAGATGTTTTCATTTAAGGAGCAATTTTGACATGATTTTTAACTTATATCAATTTTCCAAATGCCTATGAGACTTAGTATCCTTGCCTCTATTTGTCTCTATGTACTTGTCTTGGTGCTTGGATACTGCAGGTGCTCAGTACATGACCAGGTGGATCTAACATTGCTAAATTAGATAGGTGACAGGCATTCTGTCAGTTATCAGTGCTTTTTCTAGGAGTCGGTGTTTTTAAAAGGATAACCCTTTTTTGAAAACAGATGTTTAAGTTGTGAGTTTTTGTTTTGTTTTTATAGTCTGAATGACTTTTAGGTTTTACATTTTCTATGATTTATATACTTCAAATTCTTCTACCCTTCATTTGGGAGTCCCTGGTCAAAGGAGCTGTTGTTTCTGTGCTGTATTGTATCCCTCAGCTGATTTGTTTTGTTTTTTAATACTATATGGTATCAGTTCCAAGAGTAATAATAAATCTGTAAGTTATTCCACACTTTTCAACTAAGGTGAACATGTTGTAGTAGGCCTGTATCTCACTATTCTGATAATCACAAAAACTTGGTTACATTTTATAGGAACAAAGAAGAAACAGGCTAGCAAGAGAACTCCCTTCAGCTGTATCACGAGACAAGGTAAATAAAGTTGTTTTTATAGTATATTCCCCACACCGAGCATTCAGCCTCAGCCGGGTGTATTTCTGTGTGAAAATGTAATTTTCTTTCTCTGATTCTAATACTTTCAGGGTATTAGAATAAGAGTTTAAAAGTTTTTAAAAGCTTTGAATAATTTAAAAAGGTGGCTTTCGAGTGTCAAGGATTCTTTTATTAAGATTCAGATTTGTTCCAAAGTGATTTTATCATAAGGGCTATATGTAGTAGGTGTTAATTCTTGGCAGTTTGTTGTTCCCTTTATCCTGGGTTCCTTGTCAGAAAAGTTATCAGTAAGTGCTCGCCACCCACACCCCCCCCAAAAGGGAGCAGCAGCTTTAGATTTGGGTGTTCTTACTCGTTCATCTGCAGAAAAAACTTAACACAGGACAGTGCTGTAGGAAATAAAGCGGAGTACAGACTTCTATCTCCATGGGTACTTTTGTTTTTATACTTGACTATTTTGTTATGGATGGAAAAATTTGTCTATAAAGTGTTTCCAAATGCATTTTTGGCATCCTTGATTTTTTTTTCCCCCCTGCATTTTTGCCTTTAGTCTTCTAAAGTTCCAAGTGCTTTGGCACCTGCCTCCCAGGAGCCCTCCCCTGCTGCTTCTGCTGAGGCTGATGGCAAGGTCTGTTCTCATTCCTAATCTAAGCCTGCATGCCAAGTTTGGAGACAGTACGCTGAATAAAACGATATTAATATGGGGTATTGTGTTAGACTAATTTAGCCTAATCGAGATTTTTAAATTGTATAGCAAAGTATATATCCAGTATTGTTGACATGCTTTCCTTTGCTTGCTATATAGAAGATACAGAAAAGTGATTCTAAGAGGAAATTATCTTCTACGTTTAAATTTTCAAGCTATTGCTATTTAAGTCTTGCTTTTTAAATTGCATGTTTTAACATATCTTTTAACAGTTAATTCAGGACAGCAGAAGAGAAACTAAAAATGTGAGTCTCTTTGCTTTAGAATGGAAATGTTGGTGCCTTTGGTTCTCACTAAAACATTCTTCAAATTCATCAAAAGACCTGTTTGTATAGTAATATCCATTTCTTGTTGTCTGTGTTATAGTCTTAATGTTCCTTTAATCTGTGTAAAGTGGGATTAGCCTCGCTCTAACACTGTCTTAACTGTTGACAATAGTCTTTCTACCTCTGTTACCTTTAAGATTAGCTTCCCAATGTCTTCTTTTGGTAGAGATTAAGATTTCAGAGCTGGAAATGGTACTCTGGGACATTTCCTCTGTAAAGGTCTGAGCTCCAGCCTCTCCAGTGCTTTCCTGTGTTTCCCATCAGTGTCAATATTAACTCTGAATACAGAATTTCATGTGTGCTGTCAAAGATTAAGAAAATTCAGAACATATGAAAATTGTAAGAGTGTAAGACTTGTCGATTCTTGATAATAGTTTTCACAGAAAATCATGAGTAGAATACTCAGGCCTATTCCTTTTCCACCTTCTCTCCCAATACTTTCCAGGTTTAAGTTTCTCACCCTCTGAGCCTTACAGATGTCTCCATGTCTCCGCCATGGTCTTCAGAGAACCATGCAAATCACTGCACAGAGTTTCATTTCATTCATAGTTCACTTTCCTTATGATTTCATTTATCATAATTCATGTATGTTTAACACTAAAAATGTAATTACTCAGTAACACCTACATATAGACATCACTTACTTTTATATTTTTGATACTGTGACAGATTTTTAAATTTGAATGACTGCCCAAACTGCTATTTTTCTTACAAGAACCTTAACAATCTCCCACTACATGTGTATGACTCAATTCTGTTAACTTTAGAAGATCTTAAAGATCTAAAAACATCTCTTGAACATTGATGTGTTTTGTTTTTCCCACTGTAGCAAGTAGTCATTTTTTTCTTTTAGAAGTCAGAGTCAGAACCCAGAAAATAAGGTTATAGAAACAGTTGTAAAAGGGAGCAGTGGATCTCGCTGGATCCTTTCTCAGGAGTATAGACTATGAGGGTTATGCTGTGTTTATGTTACACTTCACATTTTAGGTAGCTTGTTACTGTGATAGTTGGGTCTAAGGATGTAGACTTCCTCTTATTAAAGACTTTTGACTATCAGGGATATAAATTAGTTTTAGAAATATGTAGAGACATGAGCTCACGGCTGTGTAAACTCATAGTTGAATGGGTAGTGCTGAAGATTACTTTGAGATGGAACCACATGGCAGTCCTGTTTTCTTGTGAGTCTTTTAATCTAGTGTTTGAGGAGTGGAGAATGATGCAACATTTTGAAAAGTCAGTAAATGATAAATACAAAGTAAAAATTAAATGGAGCCTGAACTGGCTATTGGCTTGCAGACAGCTTCATGCAGAACCTCTCAGGTTTCTAGTGACAAATGCCACCATCATCTCTGACTTTATTATCTATTTGAATAAATTCCAGATAGGTGCTACCTGTATGTTCTTGATTACCATCCAAGAAAATAAGCTTCATTTGTTGTTAAATATGCAGAATATAGGTTTGGAACATGTGTTTTCAGGTTGCATCTGCAGGTGGTGGGATTGGAGATGGTGGTCAAGAACCAGCAACAGGCAACTGGAGAGGAATGCTGAAAACTTCAAAAGCTGAAGAATTACTTGCTGAAGAAAAATCAAAACCGATTCCAATTATGCCAGCAAGTCCACAAAAAGGCCATGCTGTCAATTTGCTGGATGTGGTAAGTCTTAGCAATCTGACTTAAATCTACAGACGTACCAAGTTAGTAGCAGACTGTCTCTAAACAGAAGAAATTAAAGTCTCAAATTTTTTTTAACTTTTAAATATTAAATGTTGCCATTTCAGAATGGCACAGAAGTAATATTTCCCTTATCCTTTTAGCCAGTTCCAGTTGCACGAAAGCTGTCTGCCCGTGAGCAGCGGGACTGTGAGGTTATTGAAAGACTCATCAAGTCATACTTTCTAATTGTCAGAAAGAATATTCAAGACAGGTCAGTATTAATATATAAATATTGCTGTGTGAGTTCATGATCTGTTTCATAAAATCATACATTAAAAATTTTAATTAGCTTTGATTCCAAAACTTAACTGTGGTAGCAAGATTGTCTTATGGAAGTGTGGTAGCATTCCATGATTGGGATATTATGTATCAGCTAGAAAAAAATTTTAAAATAAGAGGATCTAGGAATAGTAATGTATGTCTGCAATCATAGATATAGAAAGATTCAGCCTTAAGGAGAATGATCACAAATAGAAGGCCAGTCTGAAAACAAGCTAGAGAAGGGTAACAGTGTGGTTCCATGCTATTATATACAGTATAGAATTAGTTTAGTACAGTATTAATGAGGCCCTGGATTCAACCCCTCACGGTGCCCTGAAAAAAACTGAAAAAACTACAGTTGATGTGGTTAGATTTTATTCAGTATAAAAGTACACCCTTTGCCAGTAATAACATCCTATCTGCCTCACTTCTAATACACCATATTTATGACCTAGCCTATTAGACATTTCATGCTAGTGGGAACACAATAATTAATATGTGGCCTTTTGTCTGGCTTCCTTCATTTGTGGGTACCCCTCCCTCCTTTAAAAAAAATTTAAGAAAACCTTCTGTTGTGGTCATTTTCACTCTTGCTTCCCCAACTCTTTCCGGATCCATCCCCCTCTGCCCTTTCTCACCCAAATGTTTGTTTTTCCCTTCCTCAATCAAGGCCAGTTTGTGCTGCCTAATGTTTTTGGATGTATGGCCTTCTGCTGGATGGAATTTGACTGACTTAACAGGGCCTATACTCTAACCCTCTCCCAGCAGCTAAGAATTGCCAGTAGCTCTACTGGGGATGGGATTTTTGGACCTCACACCCTAATCATGCTGAATTTTGCACTGTTTTGTGTGCTGCCACAACAGCTGAATTCATATTTGCAGATGGCCCCGCTATGTCCAGAAAAGTCTCCTTGTCATCCCCTACCTCTTCCACAGTGATCCTTGACCCTTAGAGGAGATAAAGGTGCTCCATTTAATGCTGGACATTGTGTGATGTCTTATTCTCTGCATCTTGGTCACCTGCAGGTCTCTATGTAAATCATCATCTACAACAAAGTTTCTCCAATGAGAGTTAAGAGGTGTCTCAATCTATAGGTATGATAGGTCACTATGAACTGCTTTGATACTACCTTATTTAGTATAATAGTACTATTATTATAGTAGGTTATCTTCTAAGGTCTTGGTCCAGTAATGGTGCCAGGTATGGGATTTATCATGTAATGGGCCTTAAATCTAGTCTACTTCTCACTATGTTTTAAAGCTTATTCATACTACAGTATGGATCAGCACTTCCTTTTTACAGTTGACTATATCAACTCATCACATTATGGATATTTGACTTTCAGTTTTGGCTGGTAAGAATAGTGGTCATTGTTGTGTTTATGTATAAGTGGGATGAATGAAGCTAAATTTTCAAAGATTGTAGCTTTGATTAATGTTACTTGGAGTAGGTGTATTAAATATTCAGTGTTCTTATTTATTTTTTTTACAAAGCCACTCTTTAGAGCAGTGGTTGTCAACTTTCCTAATGCTGTGAGCCTTTAATATAGTTAGTTCCTCATGTTGTGGTGACTCCCTACCATAAAATTATTTTCATTGCTACTTGATAGTTAATTTTGCTACTGCTGTGAATCAAAATGTAAATAACTGATATGCAGTGGCTCTGAAAGGGTCATTTGGCTCCTCCCCACCCCCACGGAGGGATCGTGACTCCTATGTTGAAAACCACTGATCTAAATTTTTTTAAATAGAATTATTACCAAAACTTCCTAATTTTACTTTGTTTTGCAGTGTCCCAAAGGCAGTAATGCATTTTCTGGTTAATCATGTGAAAGATACTCTTCAGAGTGAATTAGTAGGGCAGCTGTATAAGTCTTCCTTATTAGATGACCTTCTGACTGAATCTGAGGACATGGCACAGCGTAGGAAAGAAGCAGCTGATATGCTAAAGGTAACTATTAAGTTGTTTCCAGTTTTCTCAAAAATTTTTAAATTGCATTCTTATCTTGCCCTCCACCCCACCCAGTAGTACTTGACTATACTCAAATTTCAGAAAAGATACTGCCTTTAAGCATTGAAAATGGAGACATTTCTTTACATTAACATTGTAACTGGAGTTTTTATTCTTTTAATACAGGCATTACAAGGAGCCAGTCAAATTATTGCTGAAATCCGAGAGACTCATCTCTGGTGATCAGAACTGTTAACACCCAGACTGTGTTGACTTGAACCTGGTAGCTACTATCTACCTGAGTAGAAGTTTATTTATGAACTCTTGTGTATTGCAGCGTATGAATTTGCTCGTGTGAAGATTGGCTATAAGCTGAAAAGTATACTCTGCATTCAAAACAAATCACACATTTAATTCACATTTTTAAAGTTTCCTATGATACATGTCTATCAAGTCTGTCTCAGTCAAGCTTAAAAGAACAGTGGATGTTCTAGCTGTACAAAGCAGTTTGCGTGTGGAGATGATGACCCATGTCACTTTTCTGTAGTCTTAAAGCTACAGCCATAGTCCTCAGAAAGAAAGCTCCAGGACATTTCATGACTATAATGCATGCACTATTTATATAGACTGATCTGGCTTTAAAAGATGGAGCCTGACAAGTGTATCCACCTATCCTTCATTTTTATAGTCTTAAAAAAAACTCTGTAACCTTTGCTGTTTTAAGAAATGTGTAAGATCCAAAAGACTTATAAAGATGTAGGAACAGACTGTCTTTATTGGTTTATCCACTTCAAAATCTACACTGTGTAGTGTTAAAAATTAAAATACACTTTGATTCATAATTAAAGTCTGAAGACATGAATTGACTTCCTACATTAAAAACTATTGGGAATGTACTTGGTAATAATAGCCAGTCCTTTTAATTTCTAAAAGATCCAATGGAGACCTAAATTTCCCATAGTTTACAAATAGAGTAACAGCAATTCAAATAAACCTTTAAAGTGGGACAGCTGCATTGGGCTCCAAGACTCACAGTGAGGGGGACCTAAAATTCCACTCTGTACAAATTGGAAATAGCCACGTATGAAAACACTAGTGGAACTTTGTTTCTTAAAGAAAAATACTTAGACATACACCTAAAAGCTTATAGACTATTAGAATGTATTCAGAGGTTGAGGGTCATGTTTACAACCTATTGTGTGAAAATTGTCTGGACAATTCATGGTGTAAATTAAGCATTAAAAAATTTTCAGACCTAAGTAAAAATCTTTGGTGTATCTAGTTCTGTCTCCAACCACATAATACATTAGTGTTAAAAACACTAAAATTTCTTTTCAGGTTGGCATTTTATGAAACATTAGCAAAGAAAACAACATATCTATTAGTTTATGATACCCACTCAGTAATCTCAAACGCAAAAGAGTCCATTTCAATCTGATGATACAGTACTCAGTCTATTAACAGTACCGACTTGACAGGAAGTGCACACTGCCTACTTATGTTAGCACTTGGACAACTATTAGGTATCCATGGTTTATTTCTTAAGAGGGAAGACTACCACTTTTTTTAATTTGTATAGGGAGAAAATGCACCTTTATCCAACATTTCAAGTAGATTTTAAATGGAAGATACTAGCTTTAAAAATATACTGCAGTAGTGTACTTGTTAGCACTACACACTTTGTACAAAGAGAAGCTTCTTTTGTGTGCTTTTACACCGAGTTGTGTTCAGAAACGAGATAATTTGTCGTATTTGTAAGATCACTGTGTTCTTTCTGTGTAAATAAAGCTGCTGGTATGAAATGACATTAAAGTTTGCCAGAAAATCAATTTTCCCAGACTTGCCTCAGAAAACGGTGTATCTACTTCATAACCTAACAATTCAACCTATATTGCACCAAAAGTTTTATGGTGTTTTTCCTATTACATTGTCACCACCAAGGCCCTGTTAATCTCCATGTCTACAGATTGAAAACAGAAACTTGTTCCAAGTAATCCAGGGGTGAATGCTCAGAATGTGAACACTTTGCTGTGAGACTCCCAGAAGCTGCTCAACACTTCCATGTTTCACTGCTCCAGTGCACAGTTGGGTGGCACTCTCTTGATTTTTACAGAATCAGTTCTGGAGAATTAACTAGTTGCGTAGTGTATACAAACCTCAACTACTCTGGCCTCAAGACTTTTCTGTCTTTGTTCTTGTGACTGCATACTTGGCGAGTATACTTGCATACTTTGATGTCTTAAGATTTCAGCCGTAGGAACGCCATTGACAAAAACTATGAGTAAAAATACTGAAACACAAGCAAGGATGTGGAAAACTGAACTACAAAAGAAATCCGGTACTGCTTTGTGTTTTGTTGGAGAAGAAACTATTCCTTATTACAGTTTCTATTAAAAACTATTGCCACGTCTTTTTTAAAACTATGTTTACTTCTTAGCATAAGTCACAAATTGATTTCTGACTTCTAACCAGACCTTATAAGCTTGTCTAGTTTACAGAACTATGTAACGCTACTGAACCCCGTAAGTGCTCTTTGCCTTAGGTAATGAATAATCCCATATGCTTCATTCCCATTGTACTTCCTCATCAGTCCAAGAAGCAAGATGGCCAGATCTTTCATAAGAATAACAGTTAAATAACACTTTATTTATTTAATAATGCACAAAAGCATTTACATTGTAAGACCTTGTGTTTGTTCCATTCTTGGAAAACCTGCCATGATTTGAAAAATGATGGATAAATTTGAAAAAAATCTTTCACAACTGAAGCCATTTTATAATGTAGAAATTCCTTTTTCCTATTTTAAGTAAGGAAAGTCCATTCTTGAGAATATGTTGTCCAATTACTAAAACACTCTCAGGATTTGTTACCTGTCTGTGATTTATGCTGACTCCGCCTTCTGTTATCATCCGATACCTGAAAATAGAAAGGTTTAATAACTAGAAGCATCCAGTCACCTGACATGACCTTTCTGTCAGTATGTTGTCTGGCTGACGTGAACTCACACTGCAGCTCAGATGGGTCTTAAATTTGTGATCCTCCTGCCTTAACCTCCCAAGCATCTGAGATTACAGGCCTGCACTACTGGCTCAGATGGACCAGCTTTTTGACACATTCACACACACACAAATTGTTTTTTGAGACAGAGTTTCTCCGTGGCTGTGGAGCCTATCCTGGAACTAGCTCTTGTAGACCAGGCTGGCCTCAAACTCACAGAGATCTGCCTGCCTCTGAGTCCCAAGTGCTGGGATTAAAGGAATGTGCCACCACCGCCTGACCTCATAATGGTATTTAATGGAAAATCAATTTCAGAATCTCTCTAGTCTTTTGGAGGGGAAAGACTGCCAGACAAGAAACTTCTGAACACAAAAAAGAACAATTTGCCTTTAAAGTATGCTACCCATAAGACAAAAATAACAAATACCCCTACTTGATGCTTTAAGAAAATTGATAGGAAACTAGAAAATATTAAGACTGAATAGTGATGGGGGACGCTTTGTTAACCAATTATCTTCAAGAGGTGGGACGAAATTAGGGTGTGGCTTTCTGGGACCCAGAGAAAATGGGACGCATGGCCCAGGTTCCCTAGCAGCATGGCTGAGCTTGGACTTCTTGTTCCTGTTTAGAGTTTTTTCTCTTACAATAAATAAAAATACAATTGTTTATCTTTTAACTAGCCTGGATATTTCCTGATTCAAGGTAACTTCTGCAGAACAGTACTGTTTAAAATAAAAAGAAAATTTTCTTAATCAGCTGATTTTCTAAGTGGAAAAATCAGTAGCTAATTTAATAAATGTATGATAGCAGAAGTAGGTTTTACTGAAGTTCATATCCAGTTCATTCAATAAATTTCTTACTATGTGCTAAACATAAGTAGCATCAAAGAGATAAAGACAAAGCTAACACCAATGCCCAGCACTGTGTTGTGTGATAAAGGACTAGATGTTTCTCTGAGGGGCACAATGACATTTTTAACAAATAAGATGCTAAGACACCGGATAATGATAATTTTGACAAGAAGAAACAAAAAGGAGCCTTGAAAGTCTGTGAAGAAACACTGGCTTTCTTTTATCCGCATGTGTTACTAAATAAAGTTAAGCAACTCATTGAACATAGCTTTATAAAATCAAGCCAGCAACAAAAATGTTCCTATTTAGAAATAAATTCCTTTCTTGTAGGAAGACGTTACATGGTGAACATGTAGACCAATGCTATTATTGACATTATGAACAATGTTGACTCTGACTAATCAACAAATGTACCAGTGTGATGATCACAAGAAAATGCATAAGCCCAGGCTTGCTGGAGGGGAGAATTGGACTCCAGCCTTAAATTTAGTGTACTTTAGGTAAAATGTATTAGGAAATAATAAGGTAGAGTGGCAGGTCATGAACAAGGAGACATGGCACTTGGTCTGCACCCAGAGGCAGACATTCCAAAACAGTTAAGAGAAAGTAACTGTAACATGTCATTTATGTAATAACCATGGGCAAATCAGGGACTTTATGTGCAAGGTCCCAAAGATGAGGCACCAAAAGTGTCTGATTACTGCTTTTCCTTGTACGCGTTGCTTGCTGTTCATTTATAAATGGATATTCCACGTGCCAGATCACTTTTTGTAGAGCAAGTACCCTAATAATATGGAAGGGCTGAGGAATTGCAATAAGCAGAAAAATGTAATTCCCAAAGGGAATAGTCTATAGCTTATAAGCTTTATGAAGTTCTGTTTCTATGTTCATTTCTTTTCAATGATTAAATTTTTTAAGAGGGAAGTCCTGAGAATCTTTACACTATTGGGAGAACACTCTGGAAACATGCTGTCAAGTGCAACGTTTCATTGTGAACTAAGTAAGGATCAAAGTTAAATCTTACCCTCGGGGACCATCTGGAATGGCATTTGCTTTGCGACATGTATCGATGACACTTGTTCCAGGTTCAAGAACTAATTCAGAAAATGAAGCTTCTCTAAACAATTCTTTTAATTCTTGGTCAGACATGACCTCCAGTGCCTCTATGCTGCTATGGTAAAGGGCTTGTGTACACCTGGAAAACATTAAACCACATCAGGGTTGCTTACACCCACCCCACCCTCAACCAACTGTGGAATGCCCACTGTGTTACACAGTGTAGTTTTTCATTCAGCAGCATCTATTTTGTGCAATTCACTAACTTTTAAAGATCTATCCAAGAAAGACAATTTTAAAATACTACAGTTAAATACAGTCCAGGTTAGTCATGAGAAACTCCTAAAACATCATCTCCAATTTTTTCTAGCAACTAAATTTCAATAAGCATTAGCTTCTCCTCTCAGCATTCCCAAGCTGCCTGAAATGGTGAGATTTCCCCCTTCCTTGTTAGCATTAAACTTAGTATTACACTTGTTTAGGCGGCTCTACTATTGTACTGTGGGTAAAGCTTCTCTGTCATTTCTAGGGGACACAATCTTACAGCCACGCCAGTTTCCAATCCTCTGACTCTGATACACTCTTTCCTCCCTTTCTTCCAAGATGTTCTCCGTTCCTTCTGTGTAGAGCTGTGTTGTGGAGTGGGAGCATTAACTATTCTAAAGCCAACCTTTTAGCAGAGTCCAGACCTTCTTGTCCATGAACAAGCTTTGTTACTTCTGCAGCCAGTCGTTTCTGAGCACCCCGCTTTTCTGGTTCTTTGATATGCAGCTGCATAATGTGATCAATCTCCGGAAGGGGAAGGAAAGTGAAGAGCTTCAGGTACCTGCAGGACAAGGAATGATGCATTAGATGTGCACCATCCACTAGCTCCCTCAGGAGAAGAAAAACTACTTCATGTACTCAGGCTATACACTTAGACATACACTACCCTAGTGGACACTATTTTCCAATATTTGTTTTCCACATTCCTTAAGTAACAAAATGGTACAAAAATAAACGAAGGCTCCAGCCCCATCTCCTTCCCTTTTTAATGCCAAGAGATAATTTGTGTGCCTCCTAGAGCATACTTTGACGTTTTTGTTTTATGTGTATCCTTAAATAGCATGTGTAACTTAAAATTTGATATGAATAGTATTCTGTAGGTTAACTTTTGCAAAATGCTATGTAGAAAAAAGCTTAATGAAGCATTATAAAGCACACACTTATGATGTCATCCTCTTAAAAAATACAAGATTATGAATAAAATCATGCAAAATACATTTTCTGTCTAACTACTCTGACACACCAGCATGTTCAGGAGAGTTATGAGATCACAAGCACAGCTTTCCAAGCTACTGATACTCTACTATGGGCACTGTGTGTTTACTTTTAACATAATAATCATGGCATGAATACCCTCATACTTTTCTTGTACACACATGCATGAGTTTGTTAGGCATATGCCCAGTGGAGACTGTCAGATCGCAACTTATGTACAACTATTATTTCAAAGACCTCTAAGTTTATTCCCCCCTCACTCTGGAATAGTTGGTACTGACATTGGTGCAACAGGAGACAAAGACCAGCGTCTGAGAGTTCTTCTTCCTCTGGCATTTGCACTCGGGGAAAGACCAGAGCGAAACAAGATGAATGAGTTTATTAAGATTAAGGTACAGTACACAACTGAGACTCATGACTAGGTATCTTTTTTTAAAAATATTTATTTATTATGTATACAATATTCTTTCTGTGTGTATGCCTGAAGGCCAGAAGAGGGCACCAGACCTCATTACAGATGGTTGTGAGCCACCATGTGGTTGCTGGGAATCGAACTCAGGACCTTTGGAAGAGCAGGCAATGCTCTTAACCACTGAGCCATCTCTCAGCCCATGACTAGGTATCTTCACAACAGCTACCAGAGGATTTTGTGGCTAAATTACACGGCTCAAAAGACTGATTTACCACATTTAAAAATTAAGCAAAACTTAAAACTTAAGTAAAAATAAAGGAAATGGCTTTTTTTAAGTATCTTTGCAAATGAAACTGTATGTGGTACATTGTTGTTTTTTTGTTTGTTTGTTTGTTTGTTTTCGAGACAGGGTTTCTCTGTGGCTTTGGAGCCTGTCCTGGAACTAGCTCTGTAGACCAGGCTGGCCTCGAACTCACAGAGATCCGCCTGCCTCTGCCTCCAGAGTGCTGGGATTAAAGGCGCGCCACCATCGCCCGGCTTGGTACATTGTTTAGATTTAGTGAGGAGAGGAGGGTCCCACGATGCTGCCCAAGACAGCCTGGAACTTAAAGAGACCCCCAGCCTAAGCCTCTCCCACAACTGGAATCACAGGTACATTTCGCCAGCAGAGGAAAACCTAAAGGTGTTTGATGGTACACTACAGAAAAGAAACTGGAGAGTCTTAGCTGTGAGATGCGACAAAGGGAGAGGCTGCTTAAGATAAAAGGAGTGACTATCCGAAAATGTGCAAGTGATACATACAATCCTATGAACTTGCCAGATAGAGATAAAGACAATTTGGGTTTCAAATTTTCTAGCCAGTCGCTGTTTTAAGCAGCAAACAGTACCCAGAAGGACTGAGGTGTGGTGTCATGTTCATCTAGTATGTAGAAGGAAGAGCATGGGGAGACCTCACTGCTGCCAGGCGCACGGGTGCAGTCAGTAATCCCAGCTAGACACCGGGCTGAGGCCGGAGACAGAAGTCAGAGGCTGTCCTGGGCAACTCACCACATCTGCATTTTTTTTCAGGCCTGGGGTGTATACAGCTCAATGGTAAGCACCTGCCTAAAAGTTGTTCAACCCTGGGTTCAACTCTAGTAGTGTAAAAATAAATTCATGACAGTCAAACGGCAATATCCTGTGAAGATACCGTAAATAGAACATAAAAAAATCTACGAAGACTAAAGGTTCAATAGCTAAGGCTGAATCACGAGTACATATTAATTTTTCTCAGCTTTCAAGTAAAAGCTCACCTCTCCACAGAATCATCCTGCTGTCTGACAAAGAACTGATAAAGCTCAAATGGTGATGTCTTCTCTCGGTCTAGCCAAACGGCGTTGCCAGCCGACTTCCCCAGCTTTGCTCCAGTTGTACTTGTAATCAGTGGAACAGTGATTCCAAATACATCTTCTCCGGTCAACCTACACATACATTCACGGTATTCTGTAAGCACAATCAGGCCCACCAAGCAAAATTCAGATTTGAGTCTGGTTACTTACTATGTTGGTTTTTTTTTGTTGTTGTTGTTGTTTTTTGTTTGTTTGTTTTTAAATACTCCTCTCAATTTGGATGGACTCTAGTCCTTAGGAACTATAGCAGTATTCACTTTATAGTTACTTAGATCTGTCATGCTGAACTGCGATTGCGCGAAACCTACAGGCAGTGATTTTGAAAAATCAAGCGGAAAAAAAGACAAAACTGGGTGAAGGGGCACTAGGAAGGTACATTTAGGGGGTGCTTTGTAAAGAGTTTTTGTTTCTTTATGATTTTCCGTGTAGCACACGAGCCAGCCCTACCCTCCAAGTTCCTCTAGAAAATGCTGTGAAAATCCTTACGGGGCGAAGGGCTAAAAGAACAGAAGTCCAACTATTTTCAGGTATAAACCACAAGTTGGAAACAGGGTGATTCAGACATAATCCACCTCTTTAAGTGGCCGGCTTTCGGCAGTTCTGCAACACCCTCATAACTCAGACCTTCTAACTCGCAAGGGCAGCATCTTTCTCTGAGCATCTTCATCTCGGGTAAGGGACTACTAGGAAGCGAACACTCGCCCTGGATTTCTGGAGACTAACCCACGCTTACTTGTGGACGAACTCGTAGCCCGACACGATGTTGCCCAGCTGATCCGCCCCGCCGAGCTGCACGCGGCAGCCGTAGCGCCGGAAGAGGTGGTAGAAGTCGTAGGCCTGCAGCACCTGGTAGAAGAACTCGGCCAGGCTCATGCCCTCGGGGCTCTTGAGGCGACTCTGCACGCTCTGGCGGCTCAGCAGCGTGCCCATGCGGAAGTGACCGCCTACGGTGGCCAGGAAGTCCACGAGGTGCTGCTCCTGGAACCAGGCGGCGTTGTCGAGCACCGTGAAGGAGCCCCAGGGCCGGCCGTCGCCGAAGAGGCGCGCGTGGTTGGCGGCCAGGTTCTCGAGCCCCCGCCGCAGGGCGTGCGCGTTGGCCTGCACGCGCTCGGCGCTCAGCGCCTCCCGCCCCTTGCTCCGGCCGCTGGGGTCCCCCAGGCGGGCCGTGGAGCCCCCCACGAGCGCGATGGCGTTGTGGCCGGCTCGCTGGAAGTGGAAGAGCCCCAGCAAGGTCAGCAGGTGGCCCACGTGCAGCGAGTCGCCCGTGGGGTCGAAGCCGCAGTACACCGTCTGGGGCGACGCGCCCGCCCTGCGACGGTCGAAGAGTTCGGGGAGCTCTGTCTTCGTGCCGCTCTCGGGAAAGAACTCCTTGAACAGGCCGCGGGCCCTCGGGGCCGCCAGCATCCCCCGCGCGCCCGGACGCACCACACGCGGCCCGCGCGGCCAGACCCCCGCCTGGGGCGTACGGTACAGGCTCCTCAGCGTGGGCGCCGCCATGTTGCACCACGCGCAGGGCATGCTGGGCCTTGGCCGCCCAGCGACCTCGCGCGCCTCTGGGTCTCTCTGCGCATGCTCCGCCGGGGCGGGCGCTTGTGTCCGAGTAAACTTTAGTGCTGTGGGCAATTCTGCAGTGTGGCCCCCAGTGCTCTCCGAGTGGACGTCACGGCAGTATTTCCTGTCTCACAGCTGTTTACTGTTAGTTAAATGATGATGCTGAAAGCCTGTGACGCCCAAGTTCCGGAAGGCTGCTGAAAGAGATTGGGACTTGGTTCAGGCTCGGAGCGCTGTGAAGGCAAAAATCTCGTTGAACCAATTTCCCAAGTTAATGAGAGCCTCAGCGCGCGCGCGCGCACACACACACACACACACACACACACACACACACACACACAGAGACACACACCGTCTTTAGTGAGTGTCCTGGAGGTGGCAGTCTCCTCCAAGCTTTAGCGAGTGGCAAGTCCGAAGTCATTCAAATTCCTAATCTATCAGGTGCTTTCAGAACTCCCGCTGACCAGGATGATAATTCTCACTATCTGGCAGGTGAGCCAGCCCCCAGGTTCCATCGTAAAATCTGACTCGTTTTCTTTAAACAATTTAACTAGCATACAAGAATTGTACAAAATAATGAAATTTATCCCGACATTTCCAGACATGAGTGTACTTTGACCGTATTTTCAACACCGAGCCTTGTGCTGGACTCCCTGAACTGCCGGTTAGAGATTCGAGTGCAGGGGGATTACTGAGAAGTGCCGTTTGTGGACGACGCCTGCAACAGCATGGGAGACGCTGGAGTACGGAGGAAGAGGGGAACAACTGAGCTGTGCTGGCTGGTTTTATGTCAGCTTGACAAAGCTAGAGTCACTGAGGAACTTCAACCGAGAAAATGCCCTGATCATACTGGCTCAGGAACAAGCCAGTGGTGTATTTTCTTGAATGGTGGGAGGGACCAGCTCACTGTGGGGGGTGCCACCCTTTGGGCTGGCGGTCCTCAGTGCTATAAGAAGCAGGCTGAACAGGCTGTGTGGAATCAGCTAGTAAGCAGCACCTCTCCATGACTTCTGCTGGGGTTCCTCCCACCGTCATCTGAATTGAAGCAAGACGGTAAGCTTATTTACAAGATAAAACTTAGTTATAAAATCAAATATCAGTCCTGGCTGTAACCTCAGAGTCTGAAAGCTTAACCTTTGGCTGCTCCCGACTGTCTCCTGGACAAAGCTTCAGCTCTTCCATCACATCAGGTTATGAAAAGAAGATCACGATGTGGATATTTCTGCCAAGACTGCTGCTGTCGCTGCCATGTCTCATGTAGCACCTGCTCTGTCGTTCCTCTATGAAATACAATGTGTAAGAAATGAAATGGCGGGGAATGGGGACGATTTGTTATGTAGGGCAGTCTGGCCCCAAATTTATATCGGTCTTCCTGCCTCAGCTGCTCAAATGCTAGGATTATAGGTGTAAATCACCATGATCAGAGTCAGATCTATTCCTAAAAGATTTAAAAATAAACTTTAATACTAGAAAGAAGGTTTTAAGTTTTCATCATCTGAAAATGTCTCCATTAAGTCTAGGGCCATCACGTAATGCTGACGTTAAGTGCACCTATTAATGAAGAGGAGCAGTATTGACGTGGGTAAGCCACAATATGAAGTCATACATATGTGGTGATATTTTACTTGAACTCTAACAAATACAGCTTGCCTGGAGACCAGAGGGCAGAGCTAGCCACTAATTAACCATAAAGGTCTAGAGGTTCGTACATACAGACAGGAAGTGATATGGCTGGGCCGAGAAAGAAAGAAAGAAAGAAAGAAAGAAAGAAAGAAAGAAAGAAAGAAAGAAAGAAAAAAAGAAAGAAATATAAGGCAGTACTAGACCAGCACTCGGTCCTTTTTCGGCTGAGGAGTTAGCAAGGTAAGAGTTGGCTGTGGCTTGCTCCATCCCTCTGATATTTTAGCATTTACCCTGATATCTGACTCCGGGTTTTTATTATTAAGACCAATGAAAACATGTGCAGTAGTCAGACTTTCTAATATAAAAATGTTGTGCCAGGCGGTGGTGACGCACGCCTTTAATCCCAGCACTCGGGAGGCAGAGGCAGATGGATCTCTGTGAGTTCGAGGTCAGCCTGGTCTACAAGAGCTAGTTCTAGGACAGACACCAAAGCTACAGATAAACCTTGTCTCGAAAAACCAAAAAAAAAAAAAAATGTTGACATGCCCTCTAAAGCTACAGAGCTGGAGAGTATCTGTCATATTAACTCAACTTTTATGAGTAAAAGAGTTTTCCCAGGCTGGGTACAGTATCTGCTGGGTACTGAGAGAACTTCCTGCTATGCATCTTATAGTCTCTCCCTGACCAAAGTGTGGGGCATAAACTGTAGATTTAACACCTATTGCTTACTCCCAGGATTTAAGGGCCAGTATTTCACCCTTTGGGATATCTTGCCATTCCGATCATTCTTATTCATAGGCATTATAGTTGGTTGGACTACTGACCATTGACTTTCTTCCCTGGCAGCTTACAAAGCACCTTCAGGTGCTATGAGAACTAACTGTCAGTGTGGAAGTTTCCAGGTAGTTCCACACTGAGTCCTCTAACTATGTTTATGGTTCTTAGGGGGAGCATTATCACTACAAAAGTTATAGTGTGGTATAGCTTCATTTAAACTATGCATTTGTACACACACACACATGTTTTTCCAGACAGGGTTTCTCTGTGTAGCCCTGGCTGTCATGGAACTCACTGTAGACCAGGCTGGCCCCGAACTCAGAGATCCTCCTGCCTCTGCCTCCCACCACCCAGAAATATACGTATATACTTTTAGGTAAGCATAAAATACTATGCTTCCCTGTGACTTTTTCAAACATCCTTAGTGTTATTTATCCTTTCTCCTTCCATCTCCCTCTGTACTGCTCTTGTGTGACAAAGTTCTCCTGGGAGAATCCACGTCACCCCAAACAGGGAACCAATGACTTTTGCACAGAGTACAGATCCCACCAAAGTCCAGCTCGGTGGAGCAGGAATATGGAGGAAGGGTTATTTACAGGAGCAGAAATGACTCGAAGACTTACTAAGACCCACCTCAGCATGAGTGACAGCTCACAGAGCTGGTAACCTGGAGCAGGCTGCATAGCCTGTGAGCCGCTTGACAGTTTGGACAGTGTCCCTTCCAAGAGACCAGCTGGTCTGGACTGAGTCTTCTCTGCAGCTTCTCTTGTCTAGAGTGACTCACTCGCAGCAGTTGGTTGTTTTTTTGTTTTGTTTTGTTTTATTTTGTTTTGTTTTTTGCTTACTCTTGGGAGGGAGGGGCCTAGTGAATCTGGTCACTTTGGCTTCATAAAGCTGTTTTGAGTTGTTTACTTTCTGGCTTAAGTAGTTCCTCTGCAGGGCAGAATGTTTCAATTTGGAGGAAACTGCAAGACAACAGTTGGCTCCTAACACAGCCATATCTGATGGGAACTGGAAAACCACTAAGCCAGCACAGCTTGTTGACGAAGATCTCACGAACCTGAGCTGCAGAATCTCTGCCATGGTAATTTTTTCACTTTTGGTTTTGATCTCTGCATGTTGCATGTTTGGGGGAGGGAGAGCTTTTTTGTACAACTTTGAAGTATTGGATTATTGGGAAATTTCTTCTGAATCATTTATGCCTTCTCTCAGGAAATTCCTGAGCATACTACCTCCTGTGCTTTCGGGGAGATAGCCTAACCTATTAGGAGGTCTTTCTTATGCATCAGAGGTTGTGGCACACATAAAGAAGCCAGAGATCTCTGAGGCTCTGAGATATTCTTGGACATCTTCCGCTGTACTTACTCACAAAGTACAAGTCTCTTTCTACTGTAGGCAGTCATGTAGCATATACAGCGACACAGTTATATTGGCTTGAGTTACCTCTACCCTACATAGCTGATGTTCAAAAAACGGTGGTGTGGAAAGATGTTAAAAGAATGAAGTATCGGGACCACTGTAGTATCAAATGACAAAAAAAATTGCCAGGATTAGACATGTAAATAAATTCTATAAAGATATAAAATGTAAATATTGTATTTTTTTTTTCAAGACAAGGTTTCTCTGTAGCTTTGGTGCCTGTCCTGGAACTAGCTCTTGTAGACCAGGCTGGCCTCGAACTCACAGAGATCCACCTGCCTCTGCCTCCCAAGTGCTGGGATTAAAGGCGTGCATCACCACTGCCTGGATCGTAAATATTGTATTATGCCAGAAATTGAGTTATAACTGCATCAACTTTGGCCTGAGGACTTTTCTTTGGCCAATTGGCACTCTGATCATTAAGAGTTAATGATATACCGTTCAGGACTTGGCAATCTGCCTGGCCTGGCTTGGAGATTTTCTTTCTGTCTGATGTCCTTATAGCTACAAGAGCTGCCGGCCTGAAAATGGGCTGTTACATGCCTCTAGGTTCTTAAGAACTGAGTTATGGGGTTGCTGAGTAAAAATGGCTGTAATGATAATTCTGTTCTGTCACCGTGTATCAGTGATGACTGAAAGATAATGCACGAGGAAGTTGGACACACGGCCGGGAACAGAGATGATTTGATCTATGGTTTAGAACAATATGAATCTATCCCTGCTTACTGAATGCTGTAAAAATAAAGACACTCTGACTGCCAGTCAGTCAGGCTGCAGGATTCTCCCAACCACCATGGCCTGACTCACTCCTCCCTTGCTGACTCCTTGCCTCCTCTATGGAACCTGTCAACAGCTTGGCATGGCCCTGGGAACCCTTCCTCCCTCGCACATGCTAAGGACCCCCTCATTTTTCTCATTTTCCCCTTCATAGCATTTGTGTTCTCTATTCCTTCTCTCTAGAGATCTTTCTCCACCCACTCCCCATGGTCCCATTTGACTTTTCTGTTTTTTGTGGTTTCTCCGGGTTATATACTCACATCTGAAGGTTTAGAGCTAGGAACCACCCATGAGAGAACACACATCATTTGTCTTTCTGGGTCTGTGTTACCTTGTTGGATATGTTTTCTAGATCCATACATTTACCTGCAGATTTCATGGTTTTGCTTTTCTTTGCAGCTGAGTAGTACTCTGTTGTGCATATGTACCGCATTTTTACCATCCATTCAGCACTTGAGGGACGTTTCCTAGCTACTGTGAATATAACGGCAATGAATACAGCTGCACAGA